TGGCTAGCTTGATATACCACTGCAGGGTTGACTCTTGAATTAATTTATTTTCTTTTTTAACCTAGTTCCAACTCAAATCTAAACTGAATTTCGTTCACATTTTTTCCTTTTTTTGACTTGTGTTTTAGAAAGAATTCTGCTGAGTCCCGGGCGGGGCGTGTAATGATGGGCGTTGGCGCATTTCTAGAGGCTCAGAGAAGCAAGTATGCACATTTGGAATGCTTGATTTGATTATGTCCTTTGATTGCATGGTTTCTTTTGTTAATCAGGATGGTCACAGAAGAAGGTGAGCTTGAAGTCGAGGAAGATGACGAGGGTAACATCATGCTTGGTGGCGAGGCGCTCAGCTTCGAATCGTGGGCAAAGTAAGATTTTTTTCAATTTCTGGCAAGTCGTATGGGACTACTTATTTTGACTCTGTTCAAGTAAAAAGCTCATTTAGATTGACTAAGACGAACCAGCCGGACATTGTCTATGCAAAAATGGGAGGAGAGGAACCTCCTGCCAAAAAGCCTCGCGAAATGCATGATTTCAAGAAATTCAAGTAATTTTTACTTTTGAGCAATACAGCTTTCGTTGACTTTTCTGCATTCACACACATAGTGTATAGCAATGAGCATTGCAGGCAAAGCCAGAAAGAATGGAAAGAGAAAAGAATGGCTGCAAAGAAAATGCGGATCATGCAACAGGTATATTGGTGTGAAATCATACTTTATGTACAGAACCATAAATATGTCGTCGTGGTTGGTAGCCGATCCTATCTACATTTTACCTACCGTTTACCTGTTTTAGGCTCGAGAAGAATTGGAGGCACTCGATAAGGAAAAGGCAGAACAAGCACAACCACCTAAGGAAGCCGAAAATGGAAAGGAGAAGAAAGAGAATGCTTCTCCTGACAAGCCTCCAAAACCTCCGAAAGAGGTAAGCGCAGAATAATATAACATCTGCTATTTATATATCTTGTTCTTCCAACTTTTCCTTCTGTTTTTCCAAGTTTTTAAGCTTCTTGAAGTTCAGCTGCATACGGCATAGTCTGGCTTAGCTCTTTTGATTCATTCCTTTCATTCTACCAAGTTATATCTTTTTTTTTCATTTTGAGTAGCCAAAAAATCTATGGTTTGATTCAAGACTCTCGTCAGCACCTTAAGTTCATTTACATCTCCACTTTTTATGTTCGTTTGCTGCTCTAAAAACGTTACAGTTCTTTTCTTTGAAGCACCCCGTCTCGCCCCAAATACCTCGTTTTTATGCAATATTGTAAATTGAAAAAATTCTTATATAATTAAAGTTTTCACATGCACTGCGTTTTTTTCCCATTGAACGATGTTCTGCTCCGATATCAAAGATTTCTAGCTGGATGAAGGCGAGATTGACTCGGAAGAGGAGCGAAAAGAAGAAAAAGAGAAAAGGCGATCACGGCGGAAAGCATCTAGCTCCTCAAATTCTTCCAGCAGCT